TATTACGTCATTGTTTTTTGCACCAACCTAATATATATAGATGTTACTGTGTGTGTGTGTGTGTGTGTGTGTGTGTGTGTGTGTGTGTGTGTGTGTGTGTGTGTGTGTGTGTGTGTGTGTGTGTGTGTGTCTGTTACTGTGTGTGCGTTACTGTGTGTGTGTATTTCTTAGTAATTACTGTGTACATATCCTGGACACATTACTGGAAGTAGATACCAAATGTTAATTTTAAAAAAAATTAATAATTGTATTTTTTAATTAATTTAAAAAAAAAATTTAATTCATTGTTTGGTATGTTTAAATAGTTTACTGCATAATTTAAACATTAACAGATTGTTTCATTCAGTGCAGAGTATATTACGAACAATCGTTTTCGTTCATTTCGATGATTGGGCGAATCTGACAATAATTGCTTCTGCATCCAATTCATCTGACAAATCTTTTTCAAAGAATAGCAACATGTATGATTCCAAATTCTCCTAATACAGCGAATCGCTTAACCTTTTTGGCTGAACGAAGACTACTGATTGATATCCTTTGAAGTTGCCGACCATCTCAAATCACGAATTGGAACTTTATCTTTAGACTCGCACACTCTTACTTAAAACATGAAATTTCCTTAATTATGCCCGACACCCCCCGGGTGGGGAGTATTCTACATCCTTCCCAGCTTTGTTTATTTTCATTCACTGCTCATTCGTGTCCAGTCTTTTATTTTATTATTCCTTTTTATTATCAGAACAGTTTTGCCCATTTTTGTTTCTTTAGACGTTAGACATATAGTTTAGTATGAAGAGACAAAATTAGTTTCCACAGAGCGACTGATAGAATTAGATGTTTAGATAGATGAAAAACTAAACAAATTGATTCATTGATGCAGATTGAATGAGAGGGGGGTAACGACGAGTCAGAATCAGGTACTGTTTATTCCCGTTCAAAATGATCGGAAGATTAAAGGAAGAGATGCAGCCAATCCTTCCTTTCATCGTCAATATGGCTTCCCGCGCCAAAATGAAATCGGAAACGCAGACGTCAAAACACCACAGAATAGACTTTGTTTACCGCATCAATGTCAATATTAGGACCTTACTTTTTCTCGTCACCGACATTATATCTTTCCAAAAGTTCTTTTATGCGCCTTGTTTCTTCATGATAAAGGCAATTATGGCTCTCCACAACTTCCTCTCTTTTGTTCCTACAACTAATTTTGACTCTTAGCTTTGTCCTTGTTTTTCCTTCCATAAGTAAATTATTCGCGTTTTCTCAGTTGTTCTATTGCCGATGGTGTGTAATGGATAGAAACATGGAAGGAAACGTCGGTGAGCCAAGTTCAAATGCCAGTCAGATTCGTTGCATTCATTTGCACACAAATACCCATGAATGCCCAATCTATGGGTTAAATAGTATATGTGTCTATATTTCTGAGATATTTACGCTATTTATATCCACTGAGCCAAGTTGGTTGAAATAATCCAGTGGTGCCCTATTATTGGTCCTGACCTGGCATCTCAGCTTCGATCCCTTTCCTACCGCCGTAATATAGCTTCCCTCTGCCTTTTCTATAAATACTTTCATGGTAATTGTTCGAATCAACTCTTCGTAATCGTATCTAGACTTTATGAATTTAAGCCGGGTATTAGATGGCACAGCAGGGTGCCATAAATTCAGAGTTGAATTGGCTAAATGTAACCGTAAGTTCTATGCTAACAGTTTCTTTTCTCGCTCTTTTCCGGCTCCATGCTTGCCAGCCAACTGTGATCTTCAAAAATTTGAATACAATGCCAATCTTCCTGATTACTCTTCTATTGTTCTCGCTCCTTAATGCTTCTTTTTTTTATTTTTTCTCATCTCTTGGGTCTTAGTGGCTTTATTGCCTTGATTGGGGTGAAATTATTTTAAAAATCTATTGGTCTTTTATATTGAGTCTGTAAGTATTTACTTGGTAGAAGGCATCTTTTGAGTAGGGGTTACTTCTCTGCAGGAGTTGCAGTCAGTGCATAGTCAGCACTGCAGACAAGGCAAGAAACAGAACTATAAGAAAAAAATAGTGTTTGGGAGCCATGATCGCACACGTCCTGGAAGTCTTGTTGCCTGGGAATAGAGATATTCTTTTAGTTCTTAACATAGCAAGCCCCGACCTTTTATCAGTGTGTCTGGCAACGGACGTTACCTGATATTCGGTTTCTAGGGTAGCGACATTTTCTCTTTATGATCGTTATGTCAAACACCATCAGTACAGACCCCAACGTTTGCCAGCACTTTTAAACACACAACGCAACCCTCTCCCAAGGTTTCCACGACCGGCCAACGATCATCCTACGTTGCATTTCGATTCTCGATCGCATCCATCTGCACCGAAAGCTGGGAAAGGACCTGCTGCAGGCACACAAAGTAACAAGATGATAAACAAACGCCACGTCGTGAAATAAGAATGCTTGGGTGGTTAGGTAGGTGACGCATTGGACAACTTCAGCATCAATCTCATAGATCAGCTCTTCCCTCTACAACTGATCGCCCATCTCTACACCCCGACGTGTGACTGGCAATACGAACGCTTAGCAAGTCCGTTTCTTGCTGAGGACGAACCAGAACTGATCTCTGATCCCAAGTATGACTGTTAATATAGACCAGCACCCGGAAATAATCAATGTCCGGCTTGTTGTCGCTTGGTTTCCCATAAAGTACTCATCCCCTCCTTTATTACTCCGTTCCCCTTCGGATGCTGCTTAGAAAAACTAAATTTAAAAAGAACCACCTGCTGACTATAAAACTGAAATATTTGAGATCGTTATAAAATCACGTCTTCCTTTTCTATGTGAGTTTCCATAGTAGCAAACACTAATCCTATCTTTTATTGTTTTTTTTTAAGCGTTTCACCCCAAGCAAGGCGGGAAGCCACTAGCATGCAAGGGGTTACAGAGAGTTGGGGCTAGAGCAAAGAGGAGTGATAGAGGAAAGGATGAAGAGAAGGATAGGGGATAAATCAAGGCATCTGGAGACGTCGACTGACATTACATTTGAATAGTTGGAGATTATAGCTATCGGGGAAACAGGAAAATGGGAGGGAGTTCCACAGGCGAGAGGTGCGAGACATGAAGCTATTGGAGTAGAAGAGACGGCTACATTTAACAGTTTCAACAGTGAACAAGTATGAGCGAGATACCAGCCTAGTAGAACGCTTAAATTTATGAAGTCTGGGAACCAGCGAAAGCAGCTCCTCGGAGCAATTATCATGAAAGTATTTGTAAAAAAGACAGAGAGAGGCGACGACGCGTCTGTGAGAGAGTGACTGTAGACGAGATGCCAGAATAGGGCCAATTATATTGCATATCCGCCTCTGGATCTTATCAAGAACCCCGAGGCAAACAGAAGGGGCTACAGACTATATATGGCAGCAATACTCTATGCAAGGGCGAATGGTTGATTTGTAGATCTGAAGGATCGACTCCGGCGAGAAAAATTTCCTGGCGCGGCACAGGGAGCCAACTTTCCTTGCGATGGACGAAGCAATTGACTTAATGTATTTGTTCCATCTCAGGTCAGCAGTCAATGTGAGACTAAGTATTGCCTATCTCCGCACGGAAAATAGAATAAAATTATTAACTAAAAAATCCTGTAACAATCCTTATAATATAAAGTAATTTACTAAATTCTCATTGCAATTTCTCCCTCGCAGCTTGCAATGCTTTCTATATATTATGTGCAGACGATCTATTTTTCATCTAGATTTTTTTACTCATATGCAAATAAATAAATAATGACCAGCCTACCGTTTCCAATCAAAACCACGTCTGCTAGGCTGGATTTCTAATCTATGTTGCAGACGCCCGCTTAGGCAGATTTTTGTTTTCAACACCCACAGAGACAACCTGTAGTTTATAGTGCAAATATACAGAGCAGAACTTAGTTCCAGTTTAATAATCTGACTTGATTAACAATTGAAAAAAAGGTGAGTCTGCTACAGCCTCCAGTAATTGTGACTTCCAACTTCTTTTTTGCACTACCATTAACCGCTTCTTAACATTTTCCTCCACCCAATTTCACTCACGAGGCTTGGGTTAATCCATGATTCGGGTGTCAAGTATTATACCGCATCTTGGGATTGACTCCTCGGGCTGATATTAACAAGATGTCGGCATTTCTGACATTGACCATGGAAATATTCGAAGCCGGGTCTCACGATCAAATCAATAACATTCTAACGACACGGTGATGCGCCCATAAAAAAAAGAAATAATATTCTATGATTATTATTTAATAACTATCTCCATTGGACTTTTTTTTTACATTTCAGCGCGAATTTGGACCTCCACAATAGCCTGATTCATTTGCAAATCACCTGGAACTTTTTTTGCATTCTTTACGCATTTCAAAGATACTTGAATTCAATGCATCTAGTTTTAACAAAATTAGATATGCATATGTCACAATGTTGAGAGTAGAAACAGAAAGGAAAATAAAGGAATTCCTAAAGACTGTACTAAAGAAAGGTAAGAAGAAAGGACTAATTGTAAAAAGACAGAATGCATGGTTGCTAGCAAAAACAAGAGCCCAACATGCGAATTACAAATTGAAGATTTCGAAATCAAGCAAGTATAAAGAATTAAATAAATAGGAAATGTTTTCACAGCGAACGGAAAATGTGACACCAAAATCCGAAGGCGCAATGAGATAGCGAAAGTTGTCTTCCAAAAGCCAAGCAAAGTATTATGAAACAGGAAAATCACGTCAGAAACAAAGAAATGAGTACATAACAGTTAAGTTAATAAAAATCAAACCTTTATTTGTTTAATAACACAACAATGGTTGACATTCCTGTCCTTGATCTAAAAAGCGCAAAACAATGCAAATAAAGAGAAAAACAAATAATAAGTCTATACTTTATTGATGCATTTGTTTTGCAACACAAGTTTAGCAGAGATTAACAAACGACCGTAATCCAAACATAAGCCCATAATTAAGTTTTTTTTATTTTGTTTTGTTTTGTAATAAGTTTAAGATTAGATAAGGATCAGAAAATTCAAGCGGATGGTAACCGCGAATGGTAACGAAGTGAAAACTGAACAATTAAACTTCAACATATCTCTCATAGAAAACATTGATTTTATTCCCCACACGACAGCAGAAACTGACGCGTGAAGACGCGATAATTTAAAAAAAACGACACGATATTTGAAAATAAATTTTGTAATAGTATTTTTGATACACCTTGTAGATAGATAGATAGATAGATAGAAGCAAAATGAGATAGAAAAATATAGATAGATAGATAATGAACAGACTGACATAGATAGATAGATAGATAGATAGATAGAAGCAAAATGAGATAGAAAAATATAGATAGATAGATAGATAGATAGATAATGAACAGACTGACATAGATAGATAGATAGATAGATAGATAGATAGATAGATAGATAGATAGATAGATAGATAGATAGATCTGAAAAGACTGAGACAGATAAGAAAAGAATGAGATAGATAGATAGATAGATAGATAGATAGATAGATAGATAGATTCTTCACTCACTGAATGCTGAATGAATCAAACCACCCCAGGAATGTGATCCAAGAACTTTCTAGAGGAATGGAAATTCGACTGTAGTCAAAGACATCAAAGACTGAGATCTTTGATGCTGATTTTCTAATTCTATCTTGGCACAAAGCCGAAAGTATGGGACACCCAGTGATGACCGAAGCCAATATTCAGCCATAATTGTTCTAACACATGAAAAGTTGCTAACCATTCTACCACTTCGGGGTACCTTCTGAGATCTTTGATGCAATTAAAAAAAACTATAGGAAATACCAATAAGAATGGAAGAACATAAAATGTGTAAAGAGAAAAAGAAGCAACGAAAAGACAAAAATCCTAATAAATAGAAAAATGCCATTTGATTCATAACGCCATTTAATCTTCTTCTTCTTCTTCTTCTTCTTTGTTTTCTTTTTCTTCTTCTTCTTCTTCTTCTTCTTCTTCTTCTTCTGTCTTCTTCTTCTGTCTTCTGTCTTCTTCTTCTTCTTTTTCTTCTTCTTCTTCTTCTGTCTTCTTCTTTTTCTTCTGTCTTCTTTTTCTTCTTCTTTGTCTTCTTCTTCTTCTCTCTTCTTCTTCTGTCTTCTTCTTCTTTTTCTTCTTCTTCTGTCTTCTTCTTCTTCTTTTTCTTCTTCTTCTTCTTCTCTCTTCTTTTTCTTCTTCTTCTTCTTCTTCTCTCTTCTTCTTCTGTCTTCTTCTTCTTTTTCTTCTTCTTCTCTCTTCTTTTTCTTCTTTTTCTTCCTCTTCTTTGTCTTCTTCTTCCTCTTCTGTCTTCTTCTTCTTCTGTCTTCTTTTTCTTCTTTTTTATCTTCTTTGTCTTCTTCTTCTGTCTTCTTCTTCTTTTTCTGTCATCTTTTTCTTCTTCTTCTTCTTCTTTGTCTTCTTCTTCTTCTCTCTTCTTCTTCTGTCTTCTTCTTTTTCTTCTTCTTCTGTCTTCTTATTCTTCTTCTTCTTCTTCTTCTTCTTCTGTCTTCTTCTTTGTCTTCTTCTTCTTCTCTCTTCTTCTTCTGTCTTCTTCTTTTTCTTCTTCTTCTCTCTTCTTTTTCTTCTTTTTCTTCCTCTTCTTTGTCTTCTTCTTCCTCTTCTGTCTTCTTCTTCTTCTGTCTTCTTGTTTGTCTTCTTCTTCTTCTCTCTTCTTCTTCTGTCTTCTTCTTTTTCTTCTTCTTCTCTCTTCTTTTTCTTCTTTTTCTTCCAATCGCAAAGTTCAAAAAGTTCAAGAACTTTCGAAACAAATGATCAGAAATTATAGCTAAAAGTAAACATTAAAAGAAGTTTCCATTCACATAATCGTAATCGGAAATTGGTATTTAAAAGACAAAAAAGAAATGATAAAATTAACTAAGAAAATAAAAAGTAGATTTTATTTTTGTTGTTTGGCGATATAAAGAAGAACAGAAGATAAATATTTGAATTTGTGGCTTGAGGTATGACAATGTGCAAATCAAGCTGAATATCCGAAAAGAGAAACTATAGTAGTTGGTAATTATAGCTTTTAGGGAAATGTCCTTACACACACACACACACACACACACACATATATATATATATATATATATATATATATATATATATATATATAATTTAATTTATTCGAAAATTATAACATAAATATGTTATAAAATCACATGTTCAGCATTCAACATCATCACTTGATAAGACACCAGAAGTGTTGAAACAAAATGGCTATTTTTGTAGTGATTTTATAACATATTTATGTTATAATTTTCGAATAAATTATATTTGCTCTACACTGTATTAAGCACTCTTTTAAGAATAGTATATTTTTGGTTATTGGAACTTATTCCGTATACACCAATTCTATAATTTGATATATATATATATATATATATATATATATATATATATATATATATATATATATATATATATATACGTGTAAGTATATGTGCATATATGTATGTTTTTATGATAACCATATATATATGTGTGTGTGTGTGTGTGTGTGTGTGTGTGTGTGTGTGTGTGTGTGTGTGTGTGTGTGTGTGTGTGCGAAGAAAGATAACGAGATAATGAACACTCTGAGATAGATAGATAGATAGATAGATAGATAGATAGATAGATAGATAGATAGAGAGAGAGAGAGAGAGAAATGAAACCTTCTGAGTAAAATTGGGTAGACGGATAGATATGAAAAGGCAGACAGGCAGATAGATAGATCTGAAAAGACAGAAATAGATAGATAGATAGATAGATAGATAGATAGATAGATAGATAGATAGATAGATCTGAAAAGACAGGGATAGCTAGCTAGGTAGCTAGCTATCCCTGTCTAGCTAGCTAGATAGATAGATAATGAAACCTTCTGAGTGTAGATGGAAGTATTTGGGAGTCGACAATGGTTGAGGTAGCAAGTCATCGTGACCGAGGTTGTGAGCGTGATGTCTTGGTTCAGACTGTTCATCACGCCAGATAACGCGTATCTCTACCAGAAACTGTAGCTAAGGTTCGCTCAGAAGAGTTGCAGTATAAACTGCAGGCCATCTCAGTGGGTGTTGAACAAAAACAAATGTGCCTGAGCAGACGTCTTCAGTAGGGGTTTGCTAGCCGCCCTAGCAGACAGGCATACGGACGGCCAACTATTACTTTAATATCCCCCCCCCATAAAAAACATTACAAGTTTAAAATATTTTCAAGTTTTAAATAACCTGAAATCGTTGATAAGCCGTAAAAAACGAATCAGTTACTCGAAATGTTTACAGAGCGCGGAGAGAAAAATCTGAAGAAGACCGCTGTGTACAACAGCCGAAACGTTGTGAGTATTTGGATACTGAGCCGAATAGGAAAGCATGTAATGTTTGAAAATAATCGTTAAATAATATTCGATTCTTTGCGTGATGTTTTATGTGATTAACAATTTCTGTTTCATGTTTACACAGGAACCATTCATTTAATGGGAACTGATTTGAAAGGGTTGAATTTTTCACGAATATTCTCACGTGCGTGTCGAACGAGATTTGAGCATATTTGAAATATGTAGTGCGTTATACGGTCGGTAAATGCGACACAGAGATCCGTAGATGTATTGGGATGGCCAAGGACACATTCCAAAAGCTGGGCAGAGTATTGCAAGGCAGGAGGATTTCTTTGGTAACAAAGAAAAGAATACTGAACTGTTTTACGTGACATCTATCCTTCTTTACGGCAGCGAATGTTGGACGATTTCCCCAAAGATTAAGAAGAGACTCAAGGCAGCAGAGATGTGGTTCTACAGAAGGATGCTGAGGATATCATGAACCGAGCGTGTGAGCAACGATGAGCTCTTAGAGAATGCAAACAAGGCTTATACTTAACATTAGGAAGAGGCAGCTGATGTTTCTGGGCCACATAATGAGAAAGGAGGGCCTGGAGAATCTGATACTCACGAGTCGAATAGAGGGAAAGAGAGGCAAGGGAAAACAGCACATTGCATGCCTAGCGGACTTAAGCAAGTGGATGACAGAACAGGGTCTGAGAACGGAAGCAGTGGGAGGGAACTTGTTGAGAGCTGCAAGAGATAGGGAGAGGTTGCAAGCCATGATCGCCAACGTCCTGAAAGGACATGGCACATAAAAAGAAAAAAGTGCGTTATAAGTAGACTCTACTCCATAGGAGAGCTTAATTTCAACCTCACATCAAAATATCTATTTCCTTTATCTTCTCTCCTCGAAAAGAAAGAAACGTTATTTTTTTTTACTGCCGATTCTTTCGTCTTTCTCCAGGTTTATTTGCACGAAAGCGAATGTAACAAACCCGACTGGAATTCGACTCTCCGAGCCGTTATCCATTACACCACCGGCACATCATAGGCCGGGCTATCATATATGGTCATTAGTATGTGGTGTACCGGAATCTAACCTCTCACTCATTCGCCTAACCTCCGGAAACAAGTCGACTAACATCATCATCATCATCTTGCGGCCTCAGCCGAGATTGAACTCACTAATACTTTGATTGGTGTAGTTCATAATCTTGTCAAATAGCTGAATTCTTGATGCTTCGCTAGGACTATCGAGGGTGTTTTTATCATGACACCATCACTAAATGGATTGCCAACCAAGGCTCAGAGAGACTCCATTCACCCTCCTCTAAGAGAGGGTTTGAATTCAGAGTTTTCCTTCTCCTAGACCAGTTGCCATCCAAGGCTATAGAACCCAGTCTGTCCTGCTATTTACCCGTAGCTGGAGGGAGAAGAAAGAGGATTCACACCTTTCCCAAGGGTATTAGCACGTAAGTGAATGTAATGGATTTGACTGGAATTCGAACTCGGCTCTCCGATTCCTCAATCCAAGCCGCTATCCATTACTCCACCGTGCCTTCTCTACCTTACTCCACCGTGCCTCCTCCACCAAACAACTAACAACACTTTGGTATGCAGGCAGTCCAATGGCGAAATCAACTTGTTTGGGGTCCATTCAGACAATAGATGGCGTTGTTATTCGATGAGCTTAAAATCGTATATTATGGCTACCAAATCTTGAACTAACAGCTTTCTCCTGGTAGCCTTTATATTGCGCCGTACTAAAAGATATAATTGTATGAAATATACAAAGTCCGACAATCATTTTACCGGCCTGAATATCCGAGAAATTTTCATAGAAAATATTCGTCCTCCGACAGGATTCGAACCTGTATCCTATACGGAACCTTCATTTAGCCAGAGGTGCCTTTACCAATTTGGCCACGAAGAGGAGGTCGAATATTTTCTATGACAATTTCTCGGATATTCAGGCCGGTAAATATTAATACTGTTTATTATAAACAGAGAATTTACTTAAATATTTGTATCTATAAAAAGAATGTATAAACATTAAAAAAATGTCTTAAAATAATTGTCGGATTTTGTCCATTTCATAATGTGTGACGTCATTTGTTTACATTTGATACGCCATGAGCAGATATGAATGTACGTGAGAGATTCATGGAAGATTGAAGTTTAAAGACAGTAAATTCGACCTTGCTAACCGAACGATCCTTTGTGACCGAGAGGTAAGGCACATCAAGCTATATGACGGTTCCGTATAGGATACAGGTTCGAATCCTGTCGGAGGACGAATATTTTCTGTGAAAATTTCTCGCACATTCAGGCTGGTAAATCTTGTTTAATACTGTTTATTATAAAACAGAGCATTTACTTAAATATTTGTATCTATAAAAAGAATGTATAAACATAAAAATGTCTTAAAATAATTGTATCCAAATGGACTTCTTAGTATTATTATGTAAGTGATATACCGGGTGTCACTGCAAAATTGTCTAAATCATGTAACAACATGAGATAAGTGTCCATCCCACAAAAATGTTTAATATCTAAATAACCAAGACTGAGTTCCCTTTCTTCTAGGTTTTCAGAAGAAAATGTTC